AAAATCAAGACACACATCATTTTTACAAGGCTGCCGACGAAATGATACGATCAATTTTCGATTCAATTACAACAACAGTTAGAAGATCGCAATAACTGTCACAATATTGTGTTAATATCCCATTACATCGTCCCGTGATAGCAATAACGTTCACAACGTTATTTATGCTGTGTTCATTTGCACGTTTGTCATTGTATCTGGTTCGAAAATCTCGATATGGATATGTTTAGCACATATTAATTTAGGCTGTGCTAATTAATTCATTAGCATGTTGAACAATTATTCCAACAGTTGTGCATACATTTTCGACCACCAAACACTTTTTGCAGGTTCTCTCTTCAGTTGCGTCTCCATTACATTTCCCACCTAAATAACCACTCCCACAAATACGTTTATACATGCAAGTATTCATATCCATTAGCGAATAAGTGTTAGATTTTACAGGCCTATTAGCGATCTTGCACAAGTAGTAAAATTATTTCAGGGAATCTACCTATAAAATATATTTTATGAACCGATTTACACCAGGACTTACAACTTACGTGCACGAAAGCGGTAAAGAGAGAGAGGCGCTTTTAACTTTAGCGTTGTTTCGCCGAGTGAATTATGGTCCATGGAAAATCTCTCAGCTCATAACCTTCTCGGTTTGTGAAAAGACCTACAAAGCTTCCCATCTTTTTGTAGCGGGTTTAGCTGCAAACGGCAACGATCATCCATATCCGGCGAACTTAATTTTACTTTCCATAAAACCGGTGTCTTTTACAAACGGGGCATATGTTTGCTCAAATGCTCTTTTTGCATAGATAAACAACAACAGCGTCTATTCAGTAAGTCACCCCTTATTCACTGTGTGTACATTGACTGCTCCGGCGAGGGTTCTGCAGATTATGCTTTTGCATTTATATGCTGAAGCTACTGGCTACTGATAAATAAAATATGGGAGAGAAGTAATAATGATTGGCGATTTTAATGGAAGAACTAGGCGCACAACGAATGATATCAGCCTGGGACGGTATGGCGAATAACCAACCAATGAAAATGGAATGCGACTGAACGAACTATGCCAAAATAGCAAACTGAGCATTGCAAACCGCTTCTTGGAGCAATAAATGCACTTGGATTCAACCCACAAAACAGTTAAAAGGAATAATAGATTCCGTTATAACACGCCCACAAACTCAACAAGTGCCAGATGCAAGAGTACGAAGAGGTGTAGACTGTGGGAGACTCAGACCACCACTTCTTACAAAAAAGCACTCCCGTATAAAGCCTGGGACCAGACTTCAAGAGGACCAACCACCCAAATACCAAGAAAGTAAATGGAATCACAATTGTGACATAGAGAGACTTGAAGAAGAAAGCTGTATCAGCGAAGATTAGACAAGCAAACTCTACCAGCACTTAAAAGAAGCAATAAATCATGCTGCAACTAGACTTTTAGGAACCAGGGAACAAATCGACTTCCGAAGAAATGGTGGTCTATCGGATACAAGTCTAGAACAGGAAGTACATTAAAGGAAAAAGGCATATTTGAAGTGGATAAGCACAAAAGAGTAACACCGAGTAATATCATTAGAACTATTGAAGATATTTAAGAACCGAAATAATTAAATAGAGGCAAAGATAGAGAACGAACTCACAGAACCAATAATCGTATAGAGGGGCATACGACAAGGAGACTAACTGAGCCCATTAGTATTCAACATTAT